TTTGAGCACAAGCCAAGGAGGAGCGCAAGTTATTGATCTCCCTTTCTTGTTCACTAATTCGAGACTCCATCTCCTTATTCTGAGCCTTCGCGACATCGAGAGATTTCTTTAAGGCTAAGTTGTCCTCCTTGAAGTTGTTCACTTCCTTGTCCTTGTCTTCCTCGAAAGCTTTGAACTTAGCCGTAAGAAGGCGACTCGACCAAATAAGTGAAGCTTGCATCGTTAAAACTTGTCAAGCAAATAGGAAAAACAAAGTACAATTGTCATACTAACTCAGAGGTATGAAAATAAATGAAAATGAAGGAATAGAGCAGGAAGGATACCCTTCTGTTATAAATTGCTAGGACCCTCCCTACATCATCCACTCTGCATCTAAATAAAGCTCTAGCATGATCAGACATAATGAAATGATCGACCATATCAACTTCACTCACACCTCGGGTCAGAGGAGACCTAACATCTGGAAGTGGAGAACCATCACTCTCAAACTTGACCTAGTCAGGACTCAAGTTTCTCTCTCCTACTTTATACGGTGGGACGCTTCCCGTGGGCTCTCCAATGGTCGAGGAGATCTTCTGTCAGTTTTTTCCTTTTCTCTTACCCACAACTTTTCTCTTTTTGGAGGGGGGGAGCATAGGACAACCCTCGTAACCCTCAGGCTCGAGCTCAGGTAGCGAGCTCAAAACCCCTTCCAAGTCAAAGTCCATACCTATATATATACAACCAAGCTAATCAGGCACAAAGGTTACTAATTAAAGAAATGCAAATACGAGAATTAAGAGATATAAATAAGGACCTACCAATAGGACGACCAATTCTCGATGTCAACATCTTCCTTATTGTTAAAACTTGAGATAGGAGGGTGCAAGAGGAGGTATGCAAATCAGTTGTTGAATTTGAGAACTCAAAAGAGAAGTAGGCTCAACATGACTGTTGAAAAGGCAAATTTAGGGAATTCTCCAATAAGTATTGAATGGAAATCGGCCTTTGGAAGGCGGGACGAAGAAGAATCGAGATTTCTACCCATTATTAGAACTTTTATACTTGGGAATGCGAAGAGAAACCATGGTAGTAAAATAGACGAATGCGTTGTATTGGGGTAAATTATGCAACTCGAACACACACGTGAACAACTCTATGGAGGGCACAATCTTTTCACTATGCATTCAGATTTATTTGACTCGGGTTAAGATGGAGTTCGGATTTATTTGTACATGGCAATTTCAAGAGGATCTAACTCGAGAAGCTCTTCTTTGGGCCAACTTGGTCGGACAATCATAAGAACTAGGTCTGTTTAGGATATTAAGGATTCCAACCCTCTCCATCGAGTCTCGATTGATTTCAAATTTATACGTTCGAGATTTGAAAGAACTGATGTGATTTTTAAGGGAACTTGGAACAAAAATAGAAGGGTTAGAAAGATCAGGAAGACTATCAACAGCTTGAGGCAATCGTTCGACCTTATCATCTTGATTGGCCAGTCGACTGGGTCTGGTCGATCTACCAATGAGTCACTTGACCGACCTCGTCGACCAGGTCTGGCGGCCTGGATAGTTGATCGATTGATAGGTCTGGTCGAATGACCAGCCCAAACGTCCGACCCATCTTTTGATGATTCGGCGGTCCCCCTCTATTCTCATTCTCATATTTACTATCACCCCCACTTGATGTCCAAGAGGATGATTTAAAGTATTCCTGGCTAGAAAATGATGAAGATGACGGAACAGCCTCATACATCAGAAAATTATGACAAACTACTGTAATTTCAAGAAAAATAAGAGTGGAATATGGAAATTACCTTGAGAATGAAAATGGAGAGAAAAGTCTTAGGGTTTGCAAAAGAGAATATTCTATTCCCTTTATATAGAAAAATTTCAGGGTTGACAAAAGCCCAAATCTGTGAGCTAACCTATTATAGATTATCATTTTAACAAAATTCTCTGCTACACTGTAAATTCGATCTATTTGCAATAAAAGTACTAATACTAATAATAATAATAAGTTAAAAATAAAAATTGCAATGTAAAAATTCAACAGCTCTTCCTCTTAACGATAAATATCGACAAGAGGTAGATGGGCTAATGATGCTATGTGGTTCAAATAATGAACTATGATTGACAATCGAGTGAAGACGACTCTCGCTATGTCAAGTGACTTTTGCTATGATAGGATGACTGCTGCTATGCTAGCCAGACTACCACCATGCACAACCCGACTATTGTTGTGCTAAATCAACTATTATTATCCAAACTGCACGAACATTCTTGGAACCGATGAAAAACCGTTTTGACGGTTATCATTAAACCCGCTATCCAATATATAGATGGAAGGCAACCGCTTAACAAGTGGGTAAAAATCGTTTGGGGAGTGGGCAGGTTGCATGGGACACATGGATAACAACTGCCCGATAGTTACATGGTGCCAGATACCTATAAATACTTCATAGGCGTACTAGGTATGAGGATGATTTTCTTTCCAAGAAAGAATATATTCTTCTGTCATTTTTCATGGTTTTTAAAATTTTTCATCTACAAACAATTATTAATTCTCACGCCGACAGTAAAATGGGGAGAGGAAGTTCCAACCTCTTTTTTGCAGGATCATCAGAGCAGTAAAGACACCGCTTTTCCTCCCAGGAAGACACGAAGTTGTATCTAAACAATTTCATTACTGTGTAATTTCTATGTAAATATACGATATCTTAAAGAAATAAAAAATAAAGTGGACATATCATTTAATCCTTAATTACTATTCTTAACTCCCAATTGATGAAAAGTAAAAATGTTTGATTAATTACCTAAATTATCTAATTCTACTAAATCTACCTAAAGTGCTCAATCTAGTCAAATTTGGTCTTGTACTTATGAATGTGAATGTTAGGACTCCTGATTTCATATAGTTACCACATTTAGTTTGCATCTCAAGATTTCATTACTGATATAGTATTTGGTCTTTTTTTTTTTTTAAATTAATCAATTTATATCTCTCAAGTTCAAATTTATCCTAGTTAACTAAATCAAAATTTCATATTTCTATGTGAATCCAAATAAATATTATCAAAATGCATTCAATTTCAAAGAATAACATTAACGATCACAACAACTATAAAAGTACATCTCTGCCTTTTTATCCAAATTATCAAATATTACTACGCAGTCTAAATCTATAGCTCACCTTTCGATTTGTTAAAAAAAAAATCACAGAATTAATTAAATAATGGCCAATTATTTCAAAGCATCAAAATTGTAAGTAAAATCAACCCATAAAAAAAATTAAGCTACAAGAATTTTGAAAATCGAAATGAAAGAATTAACTACATTACATTGTTTGTCGAGCTATTCATACTAATTAAAGGAAAAACTAAAATGACCATAGTTCATCGCCGAATTTTGAAACAAAGATGAACAATAATAGATAATCTTGCACCAAAAATCTTCTTCTCTAAGTCCAAATCTTAAAAACCCTAAAATTTGTTCGTTGATCTTGATTTGCAATATGCTTTTTTCTCTTAAATTGTGTGCCCCATAAAAAGACTAACTAAAACTATATTAAATAGTCTAAAATAAGTCTAAAAACGAGCCCAAAATTGTGTCCATGTTAATTTGATTGGAAGTAGGGAACCAAAATCTGAACCACTTTTTTCATCGCAAGATCGCACAGTGGAACTTGGTTTGTGTCGCATGGTAAACCATTTTTCTTCTATTGCCTCCTTAAATTATCCTTGTGCAATTACTGCCAAACAGACCCTAGCGATCCCAAGGGTTAAAAACTTCTAGTTTCATGCAATTTGGTCATCCACATTAATTGCTTGTTCATTCAAGTTCTCTTTTATTTGCATGGCAAGTCCTTTAACTTTTAACTTGAATGCATTGATCTCCAAATTCTACAATTCATCTAAATTCACTCTTCATCCGAACTTATCCCCCCGACTTTTTCCTAAATCAATCATCAAATAAGCAAAATTAGGTATCTTTTCAATTTAGCCACGCTCAAATAATCCACTTTTAGTGGCTCAAATAAGTTTAAAATTACACTTACAAATCACAATCAATTTAACAGGTTAGGTATAGATATTTGTCACACTTTGTATCAATTTCACATTAATTTGTACTATTTAACATCATTAATGCTGAGCACAAGTTTAGACAGTAACGAACGAGTGATCAAATTGCCAATTGTAGGCATTGAAGTTCATTATCACCCAGACTGAAGTTCAAAAAATGGTGCTAAAAAATATCAATTTTTGCATTTATTCAATCTTTTGAAATTAATTTCTAGGCGCACAAATATGCATGAACATCTCCACGGGACTTGAACTAGTTCATGAAACATGGATTGGAGTGTAAAGACAGGTCGAACCAACAAGATTGGCCTAGTTGCCCATTGAACTGAACGGATATCATGTTGGGCATCGATAAATAACGGGTCTGTCGAGCCTATACCTAGGGATTGGATTAGCCTCTCACGTTTAATGTTAAGACTTGAGGTTCAATCTTAAAAGGTCAACCTTATTAAGAGGAGTAGCTCAAACCCTTATAAGTTAATCTATATTTTTATCTTTATTTGATGTGGGATTATATCCCTTAACATGCCCCGTAAAATGGTGGCTCTTCTTTTTAATAAACCGATCTTGAAATCCGTATGCTTATTTATTGAGTCTTAATCGGATCGAATCGCTCGTTGAATCTTAATAGGCTCTGATACCATGTTAAGACTCGGAGTTCCATCTTAAAAGGTCAACCTTATTAAGAGGAGTAACCCAAAATTTTACAAATTGTTCTATGTTTTCATCTTTATTCGATGTGGGATTATATCCCTTAACATTTAACACCTCTATATGAAGTTATTTTGTCCAATTAAGTTAGAGGTCCCCAATGAAATCCGAAGAAAGCAATAACCATCTTTCCAAGTTCATAATCATGATATATAAACAACCATTCAGCAAAGACAATTCTTAATCTACCAAAGACTTGCTGCATTCAAAACTCAGAAAATACATGTAGATAAAATAGTTCTTTCCTTGTATCTAGCAAATTAAAACCTTGCACATTTTCGAATGTTCTTCCAGTGCTTTAAATTATGACAGCTACGACTTGATCAACACAATTAACTAGTAGATAAGCAGCAAATTATGAAACATGTCCGAGGAATGCAGGCATTTGCAAATAGAGAACATCAAGTTACATGAGAAAAATTGCTATTCTTGCATCAAAAGACATTAAAACCTGAGCATTTTTCACTAACAAGGGACGTGATTCTCGAAACCTGACCTAGTCCCCTTGACAGTAGCCTATTCTAATGAGAGATTATTCTTTTACGGGATGAATGAGGAATGTGCTGTAAATCTTCTTGTTGAGACAACCAAATCGGAGGCCATAAAAACTTATGGTCGGCCATTCTTCAAGATGTAAATTTTATTGTCAGCAATCTTCATTAGCATATTACTAGTAATCGTGCTTATTTTATTCCACCTTAAGGACTATCTTCATGAACTCATAGACAAAATAACTAATGGCAGCCGATGGTAGAACCTGAAAAATTAAAACATAAAGAACAACGTGAATTTGACATATAAAAAAGAGAGTGTGACGATAAGTATTTCACCAAATGTATTTATCTATGAATAAGAAAATGGTCTGCATCGAACAAGTTTTGCGAAGCCTGTAATATAATTTAAGCTAGTCAAACATACTTTTATCCACACATTTTATAGGACTCACCACTTATAAGGACTTGAAAGCACAATCAAACATATTGGAATAGCACTCTCAAGATTACAAAAAATTGTGTAAGTTTTTTGTGCTTCATCTTATTTATTGGTCTTTTCTCCAAACAATGAGATGACCAAGGTATTATGACGTAAACCCAACAAGATAATCAAGTTCAAAACCAAATTAAAAAAGTTCGATATTTGAACACAAAATTAAGGAAATTCTCATATATACCTAAAATATTATGCTCATCAGATTGGGAAGTTCGAAAAACAACCAAAAGGTTTAAATGTACAATAGGAAGGTAGCAGAAAGCTGTGCATCTTTCAATGTACATTAGGAAGGTAGCAGAGAGCTGTGCATCTTACCTGTAATAAACTCGGGATCAATCCAGAATAGAGAGCAGGAACGCCACCTTGTTCGACTATCTTAATGCAAGTTTGCAATGCATTCATCTTTTTTGCTCGAACTTGCATCTGAAGCTGTCTTCTCACAACTTCAAATGGGTATGTAGCAGCTTCAGAACATGCACCCGCAATTGCTCCGTATATCAAAGTTCTGACTGGGCCCAGCTCGAGTTGTTCAAAAGCATTCAAATCTTCACCTTGTTGTTTCATATGTTGAATCCTTATTTTTCCTTTGGGTGAATTCAAATATGCTGATTTTAATATATCGTAAACACCATAAAAAACAGCACCAGAAGGTGCCATGCTAATGATAGAGGGAACTAAGCCCTTATAAAGAGAAAAGAATCCTTCAGTTTGGATCATGTGACGGAAAGTACCAATTAATCCTCCCAAGGCTTCCCCCCCTGGAGCTACCATAACAGTCCTGATCTGAAATATTACGAACAAAATGCAATCCCCCAAACATAAGTAATAGGAAGCAATGTTTGATAATGATCTCTTTGACAGAAAATAACTCTGCAACTTAGTGAATTAGTGATCAAATGATTAATAGCTTTTAAATCAAGTGTTCAACATAGTATAAGAGAAGGCAAAGGTTCTGGTTCAAGTCTTGCTGCCACCCATTTAAATGAATTGTCCACGTGTTATGCTTTGACGAAAAAAATAAATTTGCCTACACAAGAGGGGAGTGTTGAAGATAATATTTAAATAATATACAATGTGATCTGATATAGTAGCTTAAACTACATAGGCGGTGGTGAGACTGAATTCATGACCTTTGTCTACTCATTGCTTGCTGTGATACCATGTTGGAAGAAAGAAAAGAGAAGAGAAATAATTTTTGTACTGCATTGGTTTGAAAATGGTTACAGGTTTTAAATACACGTGCTATACAATTATGAAAGGAAAGAATAAATGGTCTAATCTACAGTTATACAATCTCATTACTTTGTCGATGAATACTCAATTATCTACTCCCTATATTATGCACAATCATTGACAAAACCAGATTCTAAGAATGGAAATATAGTTAATTGCAACTAGTTGTCCACAATCAACCACATACTAATTCCAACAATGAATTCACAGTAGGTATGGTAGAAAATGTGAGAAAAAATGAGTTAAAGGCTTCATTACTCAGTTGTCGTAACTTTTTATAGACCGTCATTACAATAATTTACTAAATCCTCATTCATTGGATCCAGAGCTGAAAATGAAGCAAGTTAACAATCAGTTTGATCATATATTCAACAGGATACAGTTGTCACACACATTCTATTGCAATCACAAGCAACAGGAGCAGCAGATTCAGCGGTTCAAATCACTAGCAAAACCATAATTGGTGAAATCACATATAAAACATTCGATCAGGAAGGACGCTAAACAGAAAAGACAGTCCTTGAAGGAAAGACCTTGTCAATGCATCAGGATTGAAGTTCTATTAACTTCAATTTTAATTGCAAAGAAGAATGGTACAGTAATTAACAGCAGCATCCATATTATGGTTGGGGTTTTATCATTCGTAAGATTCTTAGCTTATAGCCTTCCACAGAAGCAGAAGCTAGGAGCAGATAGATTCTCGATTTATCTTCAGAAATATGTATGCCACCAGCAAACAATCATACAGTAGACAAAATTTTCAAATGTCACTCACAGTGTCCATAGGTATACAGAGCACAGTTGCAGTAATTCCAGCTGCTGCACCAGCAAGTAACCTTTCAAAATTTGTTGTCTCCTCATTGCCAGACCACTTGAGAAGTTGGTTTCTGTATGTATCGTAAGAATAGAAATTGATAGATTTAAATGGAGCTGTACGTAAAATATTGACAAAATTTCCTTTCCAGAATCCTCTGAGCCCTTGAGAAGATGCTATTGTCTTAATAAGCTCATAAAGATTCTTCTGTTCACCACGGACAATATACTCCAGTTTCAGTCTCTCCAATGGAGCAACAAAAGTTCTGGCACAAAGAAGGTTGCAGATGTTACATAAACAGATTCTGTAGCTGATATCCTACACATTACTAGTTACCAAACATCCAAAACAAAGAGGATCAGTATATACCACAGTACTGAGAAATAGTTATGATAGTTTTTGGAACTGAACAGCTATTTTTAATAAATCTATATTGCGCAATATATATACTAGTTATTGCACAGCCAAAAAAAAAAAAAAGCTGATCATATCACACATCCTCCACCTTGCAGTGGCGGAACCAACACCCAACGAGTCAGGGTGGCCGCCCATTCTGGCTCCGCTGGAAATTTATATTTTGGGCAAACCGCTCAAGCCGCCGGTGAGCAGTCTGCCAGACAGTCCCATTTTTTAGATGAAAATGAATGGGATAAGAACTGCAGATCCCACATTACTTAAAAGTGCTACCAACCGTTTGCTGTTTCCAACATTCATAAAATAAAATCAGCTAAAAGTGTAGATACTGACTATCGCGAGAGAAGAAATAGCCCATAAATGGCCATTTTAAGCTACAGTCAAGGCCGACCAGAGGAGATTGATGGTGGCCTTCTGCATCTTCAGGTAGATGAGAGAGAGTGCAGAGAGAGAAGTGATATTGATCAAAGTGGAATAGAAAAAGATAAAGGCAGGAAAAAAAAAGAAATTTAATTTGAGCACATAAAATTCAGCAAGAAAATTTCCAATATCTGACAATAATGTAAGTTGACTTCATAATCTCACCATCAATGCGTTCTTGAGTTTCTCCCATGGCTATTAGCATGCAGAATACAAAGAAGACAGGTAGTTGGCCAGGTTTATAAAGACTTAGGAACCCCAATAGTAAGTTCTTTTTTTGAAAGGTATTAATAAACAATCTCGCTATTGTGGCCATTGACAGTCGATGGTCAATGAACACCCTAACGTACTCGAATTCTTGGATCCGCCACTGCCACCATGTCCATTGGCCAATGTAAGTATCTGCTAACCCTTAAGTTTCTAGATATAACATGAATTATCATGCCAAAAAATAATGGATAACACTAATTATCATCCACAAATTTTATAATAAAAAGCTGATGCACAAGCAAAAATGGTACTTGGACGACCCTTACAACCATTTTTTGGAAAGGAGGCTGGATTAGAGTACGGTAGGATTTTATTAGTTATACAATCAAATAGCTGTCATCGAGTGACATTTGCAAGTCACTCCAAGTTGTTCCTATCCCTTGCGAAATATAATCACATACATATACATTGACTATAAGTTTAATATGATAGAACAGGCCTGGTTATGGCACAAAGTCAGCAAAGAAATGTTGTTCCTTGTGACATAACATAGCACATAAATTTGGCTCCCATATACATACAAAACTAATGTGTTCAAACAACAAATAAATCAAACGAAAAAGGTTCATATCCCTTACAACCATGCAATTCAAAGCGGTTGAGTTGCATCATGATTCTGGATCTTCCTAGTTAGGTAGTTGCTTGCTTTGAATTAATGTTTGCAAACAATTATGTATTAGGAATTAAAAGCATTTCAAAAGGTACAAAAAGCTCATGAAGCAAACTTATCATCAGCAAATAAAAAGCATATTCAAGAGCATCGCTTAATATGCTAAAAAAGGAACTATTACAAATTAGATTTGAGTTGGCCTTTCTGAGAAGGAATAGGTAATGGCCATGGAGTATAGATGCTATTATAAGTTAGCCACGAGGGTCCAAATCTCAAGCATGTCCATAAATGGGGGTTGTCGATCACCCTGAATGAGCGAACCCGCATTCTGATCAGCCAAATCTAAAATTCATTTCTCTTGGCTTAAGCTGGGCTCACCCTCAGACAAATAGTTTGTTTTAACCTCTAATTATACGTAGTCGTATTCTTGATTCTCAATGTCAATGTTATTCTTCCCAAGTATAGTTCTTCTAACCTAGGAAAATAGGATCAAAAGAACAAAAAATCACAGTCATTAAATAAAAGGAGTATATTAAGCATCGTCCTTTTGTCATAATGCCCAATGCCTTTACAGACATTGCCAATGTAAAGGAAAGATAATAAAAGCACACTAAGCCCCTATTTGGTAAAGAGTTTAATCAAAGGCGAAGTCAACAATTAATATTAACCAAGCATTTTATGGGATCTATAACTTTTCAACCCCGCATTTTATCATTTATTTTCAAAATATACTAATAATCTGGTTTTAATTCCCGTCACTACATATATCAAATTTGTTCTGAACTCATATACCAGTGATCATTAGTGCACTGAATCTTCACCGGGGTTCTAGAAACTTTCACGTAGCAGATTTAAATCCATTTCCAATAACTAATAGAACCAACACGGTATAGTATAACAAAAATTTCTAGTAATCATATGCTTTCGTATCTACAAACACATATATAAATCGGGAGAACAAACCTCGATACCATGGCAGCAACAGCGCCAGCCCAAAGATGCTTAGCAGTGTTCAAAGTACCTCTGCCACCTCCTCCGTGAAGCCTCCCCTTCTCTTCCTTAACAACCTCCCTGAACGCCACCGTTTCACTATCATTCCCATTCCCATTCTCCCCACTCTTTTCCCCAATATTCCCTACAGCGCCACCAGACACTGACTCCTCCGCACCAAACTCTTCACCATCTTTAACTGACGACAGTGTCACTGACAGAAACCTACCACCGCCGATCAGCCCCCTTCGGCGGCTCCTCCCTCTCCTCTGACAATATGAAACTGTTATTGAAACCGATTTACTCGAAGAAACCAAAGAAACAAATGATGCAGGAACCGACTCTTCCAAAAACAACCCACCTCTTCCAACAAAGCTTTCTAACTCCAAATTACTCTTTGATCTCAAATCATCATGACTTGCAATCAAATTCTTACATAAATGCTCCAAGTTATGCATTTGCAATAAAAAATTTAATACAAACACTAGATCAAATTGATGAGGGCGTGATTATATATAGACAGTACAAATGTGTATATATACAAAGAGAAAGTGAAGAAGAAGAGAGAATGGTATAAAATAGAGAATTGATTCGAGGGTGAGAGCGATGGGGGTATATTTCAGTGCATAGTTACCATCGCCGAGCGGCGAGTACAAGAAGATCCCGGGCAAAAATCGAACCAATCCACGACCAATTCAAACCGAAACAACCGGTTTGGGTCAATTTCTCTAAAAAATTTGTTGGGTTAGAGTTTCTTTGAATTAATTGTTCCACTGGTCATTAAACTTAGGTCTATATTTTTTATTGGTTACTAAAGTTTAAAATATCGAGTTTTGATCACTAAACTTAGATCTATATTTTTTATTGGTTACTAAAGTTTAAAATATCGAGTTTTGATCACTAAACTTAGATCTATATTTTTTATTGGTTACTAAAGTTTAAAATATCGAGTTTTGATCACTAAACTTAGATCTATATTTTTTATTGGTTACTAAAGTTTAAAATATCGAGTTTTGATCACTGAACTTATATCAATATCTTCGATTACTCACCAAAGTTTAAAATGTCAAATTTTGACCACTGAACTTTAAAAAAGACCGTACAATACTCACTAGCATAACCGTTAAATTTTGAAAAATATTGAGTTTACAATGAGTAATGTACAATATTTTTCAAAGTTCAATAACCAAAACTCAACATTTTAAATTTCAATGAGTAATCAAAAACATAATTCGACATTTTAAATTTCAGTGACCAATTAAAAACATAGACTTGAATTCAATGACCACTGAAACAATTAACTCAGTTTCTTTGGAAGAAATTGGGTCGGGTCGGGTCGGGTCGGGTCGGGTCGAGTCGAGTTATGAATTGATTCACCTAACCGATAAAACTTGCGACTTAAAAATTTGAAAAAAGAAAAATTAAAAACAAATGTAAAAAATTAAAAGTTAAAACCTCACTTGCTCTAGTTTAAAAGGTCTCATCATTTTTCTCATACTTCTTCTTTTTCTCTAGCCCTAAAGCTAAATGCCACCCTATCTCATTCTCTCTCTTTCAAACTCATCGACTGTCACCAACTTTGTTTACGTCTAGACTTGACGCTAGTCACTGGCCTTTATTTCTTTCGGTACTCGTAACTTTAAATTTTAAATTGATTATTCATTTAGGTTTTGCAAATTCGATGTCATAATGTGATAACTTAGGATTTGGTTTCAGAGCTTATTTTTTCCTTTAAGAAAGATGATAATTTATATAATATTTACATCTTTTTTCATACCTGATTACAAGTTTATGTTCATGACCGAAGCGTTGTGGTTGATAGATTTTTATTGTCGAGCGTATTTTTATGATTTTTAATGTCTAAATTAACCAACCTAACCTTCAAAACTTGATTGGGTTGGGTTAAAACACATAAATGGTTTGGTTTGATTATAGATCAAAACGTCTATGTTGGGTTCGAATTGTGTAATCAACTCAATCCAACCCATGCCCACCCCTACCTATAGCAGGCATTCCTGTAATTGCTGCAATAGTTTATTGAGATTATGGACGGAATAATTTTAAGTGTACATTTTGTTCTTATCTTTCAACCAAAATTCGCCAAATACCCGTATGTATAAATTCTGTGAACCAATTCCCCCCTCCCCCCTTTCCCTTGCGATCTTTCAACCAAAAACTGTCAAATACCCCCCTACGTATAAATTTCGTGAATCAAAATCTGTAAGTTCAACAAGGTTTTCAACAAGGTTCTTATGGACGCTTTCATAGTTATCTAAGAACAATTCTCCTAGTACAAGGGGATTGTTTACAGATCCCTTACACGCAGCACTTGCATGGTGCCTTTTTTGGGTTTTTTTGACAAGGATGAATGAAAATTGGCCAAGTGTTAACTTGTAAAAATTCTATGAAAAATTCTGTCCACCTAGCACTGTTCGTCTTCTAAGATACTCGCACATGTCTAGGCTTTTGGTGCATATAAAGTACGTGCATAATAATATGGTCAATTCATTTCGTTGATAATATATGAGAGCTTAAACTTCAAAATGCACATATTTTTATGTTAAAAATCGTGTCCAAACTCCAAATTAGTTTAATAAAGGTCAAACAAATTTTATAACTTAAAAAAAATAAATCAAATTGAGTCAAACAAAAATCAAATTAGCTCAAATCACCAATCCCATGAATTATAAACTACAATTTTTAGGGTTTTGACATTTTGACATATAAGAAATCAAAACAAAATTTTCAAGAAGTTGCAAATTATCTATGCTGAATTCGAGTATCCTTATTTTTCGATCTTCCTCTAGTTTCACTTATGAGATCTCGATTCTTGAAGGTGCATTTTTCATTTTTGTATTGTTCACCTAATCAGAAATTTAAAGATCCTTTTTCTCCCTTGATTTTTAATTTTAGGAAAAAATATTTATCAAACTCGCCTATCTTTAGGTTTAATGATTTTGAAGGTTCTAGTTCTTCATCAAATTTTATTCTAACTTCATTTTTTAAAGTTCACGTAATTGAATTATTTATATGTTTTTTGAAAATTTGAAGAATATAGATAAAGTTCAAGAATGAATTAATATATATTCAAAATTTGAAGAATATGGATGAAGTTCAAGATTGCATATTTTATTTATTTATTAGTTTAGATTATTTAAAAAATGCTAAAAATTAAAGCACTTATAATTATGCATATGCTTCGTATAGAAACGGATATGCTCATAATGCTTGATACTCAATCGAAACACATTGTTACGCGTTCTGCAATTTTGAACCTTGTGTTAAAATATAACCTTTTTGTATGGATAAAATTCAAAATTTTAGTTGATTTTTTTTTAAAAAAATTGATGAAATATATAGTAAAAATTTTAATAAAATTATGTTATTATAAAATATGCGATTGAAATAATTTCGAGAAAAATGAATTTTAAGAAATAAGGTGTCAAACAAGGGCACACGAAGGAGTACTTTTCACAAGTTTTTAATTGAAATAGATTGATTTTAATATGATTTATGTCCAATTTGTTAAAGATTATTTAAAACTCATTTTTTAGATATATTTATAAAAGCAAGATTATTCGTAGTCGCTCACCACAACTGTTGTCCTACATGACATACACATGACAAGTGATTATTTGATGCATAAATGTGACATTTTTTTATCACATTCATGTATCAAATAATCACTTTTTATGTGTATATCACGTAAGACGATTGTCGTGGTAAACGATTGCGAATAATATTATTTTATTTATAATTATATTTTTTTTTCAATACATTTTTCTTATTTTTTAATTATACAATCTAAAAATATATATTTTCACAAAAAATATATACTTGAGGGGGCAATTAGCACATAACATACTTACCTTTTATTATTATTGTAAAAAATGTCTTTATTTTTCTTTCTTTCTTTTTTGTATTTTCACCCTTATTTCTACCTTTCATTGCACAAAAGGTCCGTTTCACTCATTTTCTCAATTAAAAGTTGTGAAATGAAGAATATATCTTCCTATTTAAATAAAACAAAGGGAAAAAGAAAATTTAATTGCAACCATAATCCCAAAATTTTATAAAAGCTCAAATGAGTCCCAAATAAATTACTAAAATGGTGATTCGCACATAATTTCCCTACATTTTCACTATTATTGTGAGAAACATTTATACCTTTTTTCTTTTTACATTTTTAACCTTAATTACACATTTTGATTGCGCAAACAATCATTTCTATCAACTTTCATCCAATTTCTCAATAAAAATTATGAAATGACAAATATACGCTCTTGTTTAAATTTCAAAAAATAAAGAATTAATTGTAACCATAGTCCCAAATTTTCAAAAAGTGCAAATGAATCCCAAATAAATTATTTAAAATTTTAAATTTAAATTTTAAAAAAAGTGCAAACGAGTACCAAATAAATTGTTAAAAAATTAGAAATTAAAAAATAATTTTTTTACTTAAATAGGAGGACATATTCATCATTTCACAGTTTTTGTTGAGAAATTAGATGAAAATTGATAAAATTGATGGTTTTGCACAGTTAAATGTGTAATTATGGGTGAAATGCCAAAAAAAATAAAAGGTATAAACATTTTTCACATTAATAATGAAAAGTAGGGACATTACATGCTAATTACCCTTTTAATAATATATTTGGGATCTGTTTGCACTTTTTAAAAATTTTGGTATAAAAGTTGCAATTAGTTCTTTCTTTTTTCTTTTTATTTTATTTAAATAGATAGGTATATTCATCATTTCACAGCTTTTTATTGGAAAAAAATGATGAAAATGACTTTTTGTACAATAAAAGGTGAAAATGCTAACAAATGAAAGGACATTTTTGGATTGAAACATTTAGGTAAGTTATTCCTACCCTGACTATAAGGTAATACCATCCTAAACATAGGGTATTAACAGTTTAATATCGTAAAACTTTCATAAGACATTACTTTGAATTTTTGGAGCGTTACCGAACGGTATGCAAAACATTATATTATTAATATGTAGGGTGTGATTGTTCATTTCAGCTAAAGATATTCTTATATGTTTATCTATATATGTAATGACATGTTTACAAAATTTCAACAAAAAGCATTTTATGTAACCATTATGCAAAATGTAAATATGTAAAATATGGTGTTTAAAGAGTAATTACTCACTATACACAAGGTGAATTTTGTAAATTTTTCGTAAATTGAATAAAACTTACAACAAAATTTGTCCTGTGAAAATCATTTACGTTAACTTGTTTGCTCTCTTATATTGAACCATCATGTTTAAAATTTTGAACTTTTATGTGAGTTAGTTCGAAATTATTGGAATTGTATCACCTCTTGTAAATGAGAACTTTGTACCGAAATTATTCAACTGAGTGATTTATTGCTGTAAAATTCCTAAACAGACACTTTTAATCATTTAAGTTTTTTTAATTAAGTTTATAGATAAATTATTTTTGGTTGAAAATCTTAGACTTCGTTTCGCTAATTTATAAAATGATTTGTAAATTACTTATAAAAGATAAAATTTTATTTTCAACAACACATTTCAGTGAATTTAAAAGAACTATTTACTTATCCACAATTTATTTCTATCTATTTATAAATTAAACTATTTATGTTTGAAACCTTAGCCTCTATTTCACTAATTCATAAAAATAATTGTAAAAGATCAAATTTCGCTTTCAACTGTACATTT